ATCCACCTTTATTCTTTTCTTTACAATAAGGCTTTCAAATAAATCATGGCTGTACTGCAGTGAAGCATTGGTGTTGAGCACTGATGTCATGCTGTCGTTGATGATGATGATGATGGTGATGATGATGATGATGGGGCGAAAAATGACTACGTAGCATGGAAATGAGCAGATGGCGATGAACACGCCAATTTCTAATTTGTTCGATAAAACCAGACGGCCTATTAGAGTGTAGCTGGTCAGTTTTGAAACATCTTGGGTGGTTCAGTAGAAGCTGACACGTATGGGGGGCATGGTAGTTTTCACTGTATACTAGATTTGACGACAAAATATCCCAAAAGGAAACTCCGTTGAGATCGGTAATTGCGAAATCTGTTGCATTTGATAAACTAGTACATTTGAATGGTGATATTTGTTTCTAAACATTATATGTTGCAGGAATTTTGCGGTGGTGGTGTAAGTCCTGAACACGCCATTCTGTTGTCGAACTCTACGATGTCGCAACAACACGTGGGTTATCGCACCCCTTAATTTTGTGCATGATAAAAAACACTCTGTCATCAGTGAAACATCAGGACTTCTCGTATCTAAAGATGTTTGCCCAGTGATGTATTTTTCTTCATTCTATATTTAAAAGTATCTTCTATTCCAGAACTGCTTTTCTCTTTTTAGCCCAAAGCTTGCAGTATCTAGCTAGTTCGAACTGTCATGAATGATTAAATCATTCTTCATTCTTTCAGTGTTTCCAGCTATGCCACAAATTTCACTTCGGAGGTACAACCGGACTTCTCCATGACGCGTTTTTTGTGTGTCGGGATCGTTCTAAATCATCTGTCCATTTTCTCCTTTAGCGTCTTCTGCAGTTTGCCAATTAACTTCGGCTTCTTCGGACGTGCTTGAACAAGAGAAAAGCATACTCGATGAAATGTGCAGCTAAGATAGTTTAGGCCCACCTAGTTTGGGGTCGAAACTAAATTCGATCAAGAAAGTCCACCTCAAAAATTTCATAGTCTCCCTTCACTCTTTTGCTCATCTTTTCTTAGCCTAACCTCATGTTTCTTCTGGTGTATAAGCTCGAATCCCACGTGAATCTGACAAGTAAATGCCGAGTGAAAAGACCAACGAATTCCTTTAGAGCATCAGTGGTTACATCACTATTCACGCGCACATCAGTATATGCTGGAATGTTCATCTGGGGCTGAGTAACACCTAGTTCTTTCTCTTGAATTAAAAAAACCGGTCAGATGGACCCTATACGGCTGGGTATGCTTTCTGTTAAGTACTGTGTGAGTTTGTCTGCCCACACTCCCTCGAGATCTTCAGGATGAGATATTTTCTGATACTGATGAGTGCATATATTTCCTATTACTTCTGTTGGTTTCCTCCGGAATGTCACATTTCTCTATAGAACTTGAACATATCCTTCAGGTCACTTAAACTCCGGTAACTACTTTAAATATGGTTTTCGCGATGCAGCGAGGCGGGAATCCTGTTTGCGTCAATGTGTTTGATACTGATCTGCTTGGCTACATCAGCCACAGCAAACGATCAGTTGAGATAAACCATGCTTGTGTGCTCTCCACTCATCGCATGTGACAACGGAGAAACCACCTGCTCGGTGCTTTCCAACAAAATGCGCTTCAGGGGTGCCACGCGTTTTAGGAAGACTGTTGCTGACAAACCACAGAAAGAATCGAATATTCTTGGTGGGATATTGGATTCCGTGGATGAAACTGCCTTGTTTCTAATTTTCTTCCCAGACCTGAATAATAGCATCTCCTACGCACCAGAGTGAATATACGCTAGGTATACGTGGGTGGCTGTATCAGTAGGCAGATGCGCACAGTAACACCGGCAACAAATGTGCTAAGCTTGTCAGGAGTAGCGTCCCAAAAGACTGAAATTCTCTGCGTCATCATTTCTACGAAGGAAAATCTGAATCATAACGAAAGGTTTGCCTGTACTCTGGTGGTCGGTTTATAGAGGAAATTCTAGATGAAGTATACTTTTTATATATATCGGAACAACCTGCAAAACCTGTAGAAACTATCGCAACTCACCCGCTGGTCGCATTTAAATTCTCGGTTCCTCAGAGCAAAAAGTAAATTGCCCAATAATTAGATTCACATGAGTCGTTTAACTGATGTTATTCAGACAGATGTGCAGCACAAACTATGTTGTGTGATTCTGTTAGTTTGGTTGTCAGGCTACGAAGGTTTTCCTTTCTAAGTCATGGAGGTTGTCGACCAACTTGGACAGATCTTCCACATACTACTTGTGAAGACGCATAATTGTTTAATTACTATCAGCTTCGTCAGTAGTGCGATCAACACAAACGCGCCCGTGCTATCTCACCAGTGAGTGCACCATATGCGCGTCAAACACGGGTTGTCTTTTCCCGATTGGTTAAAGAGATGCACGCTAGGTGGAGGAACGTACACTTCCCCACACACACTTTTCTTGAACACGATGAAGCTGTCTTTTCTACCGGGTAGACTCAAACTCCAGGCCAGCACATCCCGTCGCACCCCATGATGTTGAGAACCTGGAGTAGATTTCTCGGGGACTTCTTAACTAATGTGGTCTTTGGAATAGCACTAAAAGAGCACTTTCTACGACGCAATCATTAAATCCCCCCCCAAAAAAAACGTTGTCGTTGTTACTAACTACTGTCCACATTCCAATGACTTAGTGTCAGAAAAAGACTCCAACAAGGAATACAATAGGTTTATTGCGATCAAGAGAATGCAAAGTTACAAGGGGCCTCTTGGAATTTCAAGTGCACTTTCGACATTTATCCAGGCTGTCTGATCGGCTTTGGGTAGACACTCGTCATCATCAACCATGCTTCTATGAAAGACCTGAACGCTATTCATCGTTGGTCGTTAGTGAATTGATCGACTAACCTTTGACAGTTATGCATGAAATTCTACTAGATTTTTGTCTGACCTACCTATTTTGCTTACTGTCAACTGAATTCTTCAGCAATTTTCGTTAACAGAATTCAAGCAAACAGCCTGTTACAACTGGCCTTGAGAAAAAGATCCATACGTACAATCGTTCCGTCTCTCAATTTGATATACGTTTGTTCGTACTCATGTATTAGGTGGTTTCTGCTTGCTAATGATACATGATACAGCGGTCCGATCTGAGTCGATTGTACCATGATCATCCTGGTCACTGCTGTACCGCCTAATTAGCTCACCTTGTTCAATTGGTTGCAAGCTCTGCGAACGCACACTATCTCCCGCAGAAGCCGACTGCATTGACTTGCAGCTGATCCATCCATCCGATACATGATACAGCGGTCCGGTCTGAGTCGATTGTACCATGATCAACCTGGTCAGTGCTGTACCGTCTAATTAGCTCACCTTGTTAAAATGGTTGCAAGCTCTGCGAACGCGCACTATCTCCCGCAGAAGCCGACTGCATTGACTTGCAGCTGATCCATCAGCGAATCTATCATGACCCAGGCGTTACGCGCTCTCTTGAATGTTCGCCAATCACACAGCTCCCCGCACCGTTTTGGTAGTCTGTCAAACTTCTCAAATTTTACGACTAAGGCATCAGTGGGTTAAAATGGAAGCTCTGCGAACGCGCACTATCTCCCGCAGAAGCCGACTGCATTGACTTGCAGCTGATCCATCAGCGAATCTATCATGACCCAGGCGTTACGCGCTCTCTTGAATGTTCGCCAATCACACAGCTCCCCGCACCGTTTTGGTAGTCTGTCAAACTTCTCAAATTTTACGACTAAGGCATCAGTGGTTGGAAACATTTGGATGTTATAATGGGTTGGCTTGTCTATATGCGTGCTCGAATCATACATCGTTGATAACGTTGACGCATTCATTTTATGATGCTTCTTGCCTTAACTGGCGTAGTTCCCCGTAGCTTTCCCGTTGTCTTACATGTCCACTGAGGTCATACAAGAACGATGTATAAGCTGCTCGCAGACAACGTTTTTGTGACCTGTTTGCCCTAGTGAATGAGCCTAGTGGTTACCCTCTCAGAAACTGTTTTACGTATATGGTCACGCAATGGTATGCGCGGGGACTCAATTACACGGGTAGATGCAGGTTTACAAACTCTTTCGCCTTACACACAAAATACAACATTTCAGAGACCACTAGTAGTCACTTTAAAATCATATTCAAGTATATGCCCTGCGACTACGGCAATCCTCAAAACAGATACCATCAAGGGATAAAAGATTTTGCCTTTCCTGGAGGGATTATTTCGTGTTATTCAGCTAAAGTGTACCATGACAATGGAACTTTTCTTGTTGTTAGATGAGCTATGAACTTCATGTGCGGTTAGTTACTTGTTCTAATCTGCTTTCCCCATAGAGTCTCGGAATTCCCATTCTTCCTAATTCCCTCTAGGTATAACGATGTCGTAAATCAAAATCGATGTCAACCGCTGACAGGAACCAGCAAAATCTTTCGTGTTTCGTTAAAACCTCATTCTGAAAGGCGTTGCTACTTAACTTTCAGCAATGTATGACTTTTCCGAAGTCATATTTTGCAACTTAAGCCTAACTCGCCGCTTTGGTAACGGCACTCTTACTAACGAAAGATGACAACGTCCTCTGAAGTCTATGATTATTTGAGGGGTCATTTGACTGTGCGTTGGCCTCAATAACGTTCAATATTTCATTCTTTGAGACCGGTAAATGGTGCTTGGATATCTTACCCTTTGCAAGTAGCATAAGGCGACTAATTCACATATCAACAGACCAAAACTGGGACACGCTGTTGTCCATTGCAAACTGGGACTGAGGTGAACACGTATCTAACAGTCACCGTGTTTCTGATTTTGAATTTGTCGTGATTATCTAACTAGTTTAGAATTGAGCCTCGTAGGCCACATCTTTCGAAATTCTAATGCAATTCCTTCTTCCTTGGTTTTTGAGTATCGCTGAAGATGACCAATTTACTGGTATATTTATTGCAGTATGAATAAACTTCTCGGGGAACAGCATCCTGAAAACTAGGAACGACTTTTTCAGACATGTGGAACCCCGTAGGAATGCTGAAGGCGATCCCCCTTGATGCGACTACTGAAATCGTATTACTTGATCCTATCGCTTCTAATCGTCGTATATGACGACTTCTTCAAAAGGCTACGATTTTGGCTTTGAATAGGTGAGCAAGTATATGCATACCGCGTCACGAATTACAGAGCGTGATGAGCAGGGAATGAGCCTGTCAACCAGCTAGACAACACTTGGTGTCTAGAGCTTACACATAAATTCGTTCGGGTGCCTACTGTCTAAAAACCGTTCTTTTCATCCGGTCAAATAAGATCATAGAACTACCTTACATGTACAAGAGATACACCCATTTGCAAATCAATTTGGTTTTCACGAGATACCCAACAAAATCTCTCGTTTATGTTATGATATTGAGTCTCTCGTTAGAACCAAACTGATTTGCAAATCAATGTATTTCTAGAAAACGGTTCAATTTGGGTTCAAGTAGAACATAAGATTGACGGAAACTCGGGGACTGTGCCCACCTGATGAGCCACAAGAAGGGCGAAACCGGTCGTGGGCTGTCGAAGGGTTTCCAGCAATCTTGTGAGTAGTTTCCTTTATGAAAATACCTTAAGTATAACTAATTCCGCGTGCTGTAGCCATTGAAAGCTCGTAATAAAAAGGCATCTTGGTCGAGGTCATACATGACCTCTGAAAATACAACGAGTAAGTATATGTCCTTTCCACCCTTCATGGACATGAATTATGGAGCAAATTTTTTAAATTGAGGTCTGTTTGTTTCGGTGGCTTCAGAAACCAATGAACCAACGTGAATGAGAGCAGTGTTCCAGTGTAAAGCTCACAGTTCAAATTATACCTAATTTTCGGTAACAGTGAAAAAATCACGTAGTTTTATGTCAACCAAACCATGAAAAGCACCCAACAAGAAAAAACTTGCTTTGAGTCCCAGTTGTCAGAAGCATTTACGGTGAACGATAGCCGGGCCACATTCGTCATACTCTTGTTTGGAAATCCACATTTGTTGGAATGTGGCTAAGGATGCTAGAATAGATCCACCAATCCACACGGAGTACTTGCGCTCCGCTGGTGCAATAATCTTGACCTTCATTGTGCTTGGAGCCAAGGCACTGATATCTTTTTGCATGCGGTCTGCAATACCAGGGAACATAGTCGTACCACCAGAAAGCACTGTACTGGCATAATCACACTTCATGATCGAGTTGTCCGTCGGGAAGTTCGTAGGTTCTCTCCAGCACTGTACTCGATGCTGCAGTGCTCATTTCTTGATCAAAGTTTAATGCCACATAAGTCAACTTCTCCTTGATATCACGAACGATTTCTCGTTCAGCCGTTGTTGTAAAACTGTAACCACGTTCCGTAAGTATTTTCATAAGGTAGTCAGTGAGATCACGTCCAGCCAAATCAAGCCGAATAATAGCGTGGGGCAGGGCATAGCCTTCATAAATGGGGACTGTATGGGAAACGCCGTCTCCGGAATCTAGAACAATTCCAGTTGTTCGACCAGACCCATACAAGGACAAGACTGCCTGGATGGCTACGTACATCGCTGGTGCATTGAAAGTTTCAAACACAATCTGTGTCATCTCACGGTTTGCTTTTAGATTGAGCGGTGCTTCAGTTAGGAGAATTGGATGTTCCTCGGGGGGCACACGCAGCTGATTGTAGAAAGTATGATGCCATATCTTCTCCATATCATCCCAGTTGGTTACGATTCCATGTTCAATGGGATATTTCAGAGCGAGTATACCTCGTTTCGACTGAGCTTCATCCCCAAAGTAACAGTCTTTCTGACCCATACCGACCATCACACCTTTGTGCTTTGGTCGTCCGACGATGGATGGAAATACGGCTCTCGGTGAGTCATCACCGGCAAATCCAGCCTTACACATACCGGAACCATTGTCAATTACCAACGCTTGGACCTCTTCGTCGACCATGGCGAAAACACTGTGAGATAGCGTCTAATTTCAGTCGACTCTGGTTTTTATACAACCGTCCGATGGCCATATTTGGACTTTCACCAACAATCACTTGGTTCAACATGCTGAATTCAAGGTGATATGGACAATTACGTGAAGTTTATCACGTGTGTGATTGAACGAACATACAGGTGGCACCGGATGTTTGGACATATTTGGACATACAATATATGCGAACGGGCTGTTCTGCATGCACGCACAACTGGACAGACATCTGGCGTCCGAATGAAGCCCAGGCAAACTACTAAAACCAGAGTCTATGAGCTAAAAGATTTGCCATAGTGAGTTATGGTGATCACCATTTATGTACTGGTTACCTTTTTTCTCAATAAGCATTTTCCTTCATGAGATCTTGAGGGAAGATCTTTTAAAACGTCAACCCCCGAGATCGTGGTGCATACATCATGTAAGTTCCCGGAACTGCACCACACTGGCGAGTATGTTCTTCCGTTTGATGAACTAATGGTGCACTTTGTAGCTCAAAGAAGACTTGCTCATACGGTCTCGGTGATAAGTTTTGCTGTCAGAGCATCTTCCCAGTGTAAAATCTGTTATTAATGGCCTCATGTTGTCAATATGCCACCGCAGGACTCAAGATTCAAACGTATTAATCCGTGTGTTCTACGTCAGACTTTCCACCTGGTTCACAGTTTCCTTCAGTGCTAGTGACTCATCAAAGAAATAGCAACAAAAACAGTATTAGCAGTAAACGTATGTGTTGCACATCTGGACTATGTTGCTTTACAGTGCCCCGATAAGGCTTTCCACTCGAAAATATATGTTGAAAAAAAGTGTCCAAATCTCGACTTCAAACAATGAGGACTATTTTTAGGAGGGGAGCTGGCAGGAAGAGATATGGGTTCTGAAGCCATCGTGACTATTACGATGTTGGAGAATGTGCTTGCAGCTGCCCTCGTACTGAAGAGTAGAACAGTCAGTTGGATGCATAATGGGACTAGATGATTTACTCAAGCGCATTAATCCACCCTGACCGCATCGGGTATCTTGTCACTAGCTTATCTAAATAGGACCAACTAAGTTACATTCATTCGCGACAGTTAGTAGACATTATGCGAACGAATCAGAAAGGAAGCCGACCAATCAAATCTGCCTGAGTGGATTCTAATGTTTTTGGATAATGTTACCAGAATTGAAAGCTTCTGAAGCCAGAATAATGAGTTACGAATAATAATAACTGTGACTCCTTTTGGCACAGTCGAGAGATTGATAACAATTAGCAAAACAGGTAAATAATCAGGCTAGCATGTAGGTATACGGAAAATACAAGTGTGAATTGTAATCAACCGACTTGATGTAACCCTACTCGTAAGCCCTCACTGCAGCCAGCTACGCTAGCATGAGTGGTTTCAAAAGCTGAGTGAATCTCTCTTCTTATGTCGTGCTTATTAATTTTGAGCTGGTTGCTCCTAGTTTTGAGCAGCAATCAAAGAAGATAGCCTGTGAGGAGTGATATCATTGTGGACTCTTCCGTCACACGGGCAATACGCATCATATAGCCAACTAACAAACGAGAGGACTCAACTTTATTAGAGACTCAAACGTACAATATACAACAGGGTCACGTGGATTAGAATAAACGCAACGTCAGGCTCAGGTGCTTTTTAGGAAGAAAACTTGATCCAAATCACACAGTCGTCGGGAAGGTTGAATAGAGGGGTATCCATTCGTGTTTGATAATTGCACGAACATGAATATAACAATACATGTCCGGAAGTCTGGGAATACAAGGAACATATTGTGCTCACAAACTTTCGGGGCACTCCTTGATGGGAAAGCGTGTCAAGGAGAACAGACAGGTCAACCAACTCTAATGCGCCTTGGAAATCTAGGAATTCTAAAATTGCTGGTCATTTGTAAGTATGACGTTGTTTTAGCATCTGACGCAGTATTAAGACTTGGTCAACGTAACCCCTACCAAGCCGGAATCCCGCTTGCTGCTCTCGGGTCATTTTTTCACGAACCACCATAAGGCGACGAAGCGTAAGTGACGCCAGAAGTCTCGTTACCCACAGGGTTAAGCTGACCCCCCTGTGGTTACCACACTCACCACCAGTCGCTTTGTTAAAATGGACACTATCACTGATTCCCACAGTTGTCTGCGACAGCCTCCTTTTCACAAGTAGAGCAGGCATCTGCTGACTGAAGATTTCACCCTTATCTTTGAACAGTGCGGGTGAGAGAGCGTCCGGACCAAAAGCTCAATGGAGCTTGAAAGAACAATGCAGTCATAAACCTCCGAGGCCGTAGGGGGTTCCACGTTCACCGTCGAGAGTTTTACGTTAACTGCGGGCCCCAGATGTGCGGTTGGTGGGTTTGCTGGAAGCTGGCGGCCACGAGGGTTGTTGTTCGAAGTATTACGCCCACTGGTCGAGGCGCTTTTCTTTATTCAAGATGGTCACTTCCTTCTGGTCCTTGGTAGTTTTCGGGGATCGGTCGGGCGGATCAACTGGAATAATTTTCTGGCATTGCCAGCTTCCTGAGACTTTTCCGTTTCCTTGGCTCTCCATTTCCACCAGACTTTACGATTGGTTCGCACTCTCACTTTCTCTTGACGTTTGATAACTCGTCGCATCAAGTTATGTTCGGGACCGGCTGGGATATCTCCCCGAGTTTTAAGCAGTGTCATTGTTCCATCTGATAGCTAGTGTTTGAGTGAGACTGGTAGCGCCGTGCCCCAAGTAAAACACCCAGTACTGTTCAAAGATTTGGCGATCTCTTCCAGTACGAATTCACATCATATTGTGGAGCATTTGAAAGAGACTCTGGAAGACGGTCTAGTAAATTCGTTTTACATCCGGATCAGCCAATATTTCAGTTGTCAGGCTATTTGTCCGCACCTTACGCAGCCCGGGAAAACGAAGGGTGAAGCGACTCCGGACGAGTGCGTGGTGGGGACCCAGAAATATGTTACAAAACGAGCAGTGGTCAGTTATTGATCCGCGCCATCGGTAACTGATGGCAGTGTGATTAATTTGTGTTTTTGTGACCGGAACGTCGTTGGAGGACACCATGTGGCTTGTTCTTGTTAGCACTACACAAAAAGAGCCTGTGGTCAGCACACAGCTGAAGCAGTCGTTGGTTGGAAAGCCTGACCACAAGGCAGCGATGTTTGGCTGGAAATGCAAGTAAATTACCATTTTTACGGAACACGCCACTACATATGTTCCAACCCCCAACCTGGAGGACCTGGGGACTTTTAGCCATTGACCGACATGGTATGAAAGACTCTGCGAGTGTCGCGTGGACACCCCCAGTGTAGATCAATGGATCGTCAAAGTACACAAGCCGCCACACTGCAGTAATTTCCACTCTCTTTGTGACGAACCCGAGTGATTTGAGGAGCCAGCTGCGGAACGGAACACCAACTTGTCCAAACAAAACCTAACACTTGACTTTGCAAGCCATATTATGCCAACTGCATCAGTGAGGTAATAAAGCGTGGAGTAAACCATCTCGAAGACCCAAAAATCAGGTTGATATACCAACATTGACTGATCTCGGCACAGACAGTTTTCAGCCCGTCCAACCCGCTGATAGAATCGTTACGCAATTTGCAGCACTAGATCACGACGACGGCAGTCCTCTTATTCGAGCAACTCCAATGCGTCCCGATTAAAACGAAAGGGATATGAAACAGCTGGTAGCCACAGAAAAAAAACACTTACGACATCCCATGTCTATCCAGATAGCGAAGTCAAGAAACAGTAGCCAAAGAGTGCTTGAAGTTTGACTTTGCAATCATATCATGGACAAAAGGTGCAGGGCTCAAAGTGGAGAGGAATTTGTCGACTGGTGACAGGACAAAGAATCCTTCGATTGTCTGAACGCCATCTATCGGTCGAGCATAAAAATAAGACAAACTCTCCAGGATGCTGACACGAGGCTGAAACGGACATCGCCTACAGAAATACTGGACGCTTGGCGCAAGCACCTCAATGAACTGATGAATCAACCGATGACTATTGACTGAACTGCAGTGGATACATTGCTTCAGCTAGAGAATCTTCTTTCGACCATCGAAAAGACACGGTGAGCAAATATACCATTGTAAAACGGCAAGGTAACTGGATGAGACACGCCTGAAATAAAACTGGTGAGTGCACTTTTTCAACTGACCAGCATGATCCAAAAGAAAGAAGAATTCCCATCAGAATTCAAGGGTGTGCTAATCTTGTTACCACAAAAAGGAAGAGAAAGTGAATCTTCCGTGACAACTACACAGGCATCAGTCTGCTAAGTGGTGTTGATAAGGGTCTGCCATAGTTGCTAGTCAACCGACTGACTACTGAATTGGTTGGAGCACACACTCCAGAGGAACGAGGTAGATTCCATGCTGGCTGTAGAACGATGTATCTGATATTTGCTGCACTACAGTTTCAAGAAAAGTATCGGGAATACCACCATATATTCCACGCCATCTTCGTAAAATTCACGAACGCCTTTGACTCTATCAATCGAGAGGTAGTGTGACAGTATTTCCAGGTAGCAAAGTTCGCCAACCTCACTCGAAGCTTACATGAGGAAATTAGAGCAATGGTACAAGCGAATGGTTCGAATTCAAGTGATCTCAAAAGTCCCTTCGGCGTAAAACGGAGGTGCGTGCTTACCCTCGCTCTTTTCAATCCCTGCCTAACGGTCATCATGAATACGTCTGCCGTGAACGGAGATGTTGGTGTACAAAGCAAGCACCGATTTGATGGACGTCCGTTCAATATTAGGTGTTTTCCTGAGAGCAGCGTGGTTCACCAGACCAAAGTCCGTATATTTACCGACGACTGTGTGTTGTTCGCACACACGCGGTTCCTACTGTGACGCAGATTCATCTGAGCACCAACGCGTTCTGCTGTAGCATGCGCCAGGGAGTCTCCGGAAATCCTCTGTGCATCAAGACCGACATAGAGCATTTGGACTGCCGCACGGAATTCCGCTACATCTGACGCACATCGCCTGATGAACTGGCCATCGGCATTAGCCGGTACTCCATGGTGCCAAGACTAGCGTGGCTTTTGGCAAGCTCGCGAGGAGTGGAGTATTCGAATGGAGACAAAGCTGCACTTCTACAAGGCGACGGTTGTATCCGTCCTGTTGTACGGCACTGAAGCGCAGATACCACTTCCGGTACTTGAGCATTATCCACATGTAATCCCTTAGACGGAGCGGACGGCTACCAAGTAAGGAAGTCCTCCGACATGATGAAATGGAGACTACGTTCACATGCAACCGCCTACGGTGTCTGGAACATGTTTGCTCAATTACAGAAACAGGATTCCGAAGCAGCTTTCATAAGACCAGTAAATGCACAAAACGGGACTGTATAGAATCAGACGACAATCTCCAAATTTAAGTCAGAGGACTTAAGCCTGTAAAACGATATACTATCCTCGGAGCTGTTGAACCCGAATACAGCACGAGCTGGGGCTGCAGCGTCCACGGTATTTTTTATGTTGGCAGACTACCAATGGATGCGCAGCGATCCGTCGGCGAAACATGATCAGACGAAGTAAGTTTATCAGACCCATCTTGAATTTCTTTGGTCGCCAAATACATAAGCAATCGATGATGTATGAAGCAGCTTTCCATAGCTACTTCTATAAGAACCAAAACCAACCGAAATGCTTGAGCCATTCGATTTTTTAAAGGCGGAGGCGGTGCTAGAAGTCAATAAAACGATGATCGTCTGGCTAGAATTACGTCGAATCATGGCTGACTGTAGTCATGCAGGTGCACTCTGTGTCCTTCTTATGAGTAATGCAACCCCTAGTCTATCCGTAAAAGACACTGTTGAGTTCAATTGCTGAGCTGTTAACATTTGTATCAGCAAAGCCCTGAATTAATACCCTGATATTCCGGAGCGTTAAACCTACAGCGATGCTAGAAATGACTTTCTATAACCACCATTTTATATACCTAGCTTGAACTAGCTAGCCGTATATGTGGTGTGCAGGCGACTGGACAACCTGGTACATACGCTGTGAGCGTAGTGCGTTCACCGCACTACGAATGTACGAGGTTTCGTGGAACAGATCAACCTTCGTTACTTGACCTTATACTAACTAGTGAGCCATTTATGGTTGAACAAATCATATATAGACCACCACTGGGAAAGAGCGACCATCTCGTGCTCTTGTTCGATTTCACTTGCTCCTCCGTACGTTTAAGCGACCCACATAAATATGTTCTGAAGACCAATTTTCGGGAGATAATCTCAGCCTTCCAGGACCTAAAAATGCTGGATGACGAACACGAAAATTCTAATAGGCAATGGAAATCATTCATAGCCCAGCTGCAGACCTTGATTGCAGACAATTCGACAGAGGTGCCTCGAGCCACCTGCGTACAGATGTTCACAGTGAGGAGTCGAACAAGAAAATGGATTACAGAACGTAACATCGCTTGGTTTCAATATAAAACGAACCGGACCGACGAACACTGGGAGTCGTACCGAAAGTTGCGGAATAAAGTCACGTCACTAATCAAGGAAGACAAACTACAACAACAATTCAAATTGATGACTAGGATGGAGAAAAACCCCAAACTATTGTATCAATTCGTGAATGCGCAGGCTAAAGTTAAACCAGGTATATCTGCCATAAAGACAGAATCGGGAATGACTGCAAATGCGTTTGAAACAGCTAATGCCCTTGCCACATTTTATGCTTCCGTGCTTTCTCCTGAAGCTACCCGCGCTCCTGTACAAACTGTGGAGGTACTAACGGACGAAACTTTATCGGACGTGCATAAGTGTATCTACCACCGCGCGACCAAGCTGGTCATTGGCCTCCGAAACGTTCCCTACAGTGAAAGGCTACGTAAACTGGATTTGTTTGATTTAACTTATCGGCGTATACGAGGAGACCTCATCCTGATGTTCAAGATAATAAACACCCCTAATCACCCTTTAAAACATTTGTTCACAGTTAATTTGGCCCGACAGACCCGACGGAATCCATTGGCCGTTGACATTCCATGTTCCCGCATTAACTGTCGGCGCTACTTTTTTTCAGTCCGCGTATCCCTCACGTGGAACAAACTACCAACATCTGTTGTGGATTGTGGTAACCTCGAGACTTTCAAACATTCGCTTGACGAATACATAAGATCTTACCCAACTTCCCTCATCAACATTTGACATGCAGATTACAAACAATAGAACATATATGTCATATCATTCCGTTTATCTGTATACATACACACACACCAATATCCTTTGGTCATTGTAAAGCAAAATGCTTTTTAGACCAATATAACCTTGATTTACCTTGATTTACCTTGATTTACCGCGTAATCTCATGAGGAAGGATAAGTGATTTCTCACGGAGAGGCTCTCGTTTGGTTGGACGGTTTTCGTCCACTACCTGAAGTCTACTTTATACACGTCTTACTTTATTTTGCTATATTATTTTATTATTTTATTTTTTTAATGTACCGCACATGTTATGAAGTTGTAATCATGTGCATAAATTCGGTCGGATTGTGTAAACTGATGATGAACCGGTGTCCAACCAACTGGCAATTCCAGGTTAGAAGTTAGATGCGACCCAAACACAATTTCATTGATTTTCTATAGAGAAAAATGTCGATAGCTCAGGCAGCGTAGATGTTCGTTGGCTTGTTCGCTGAACTGGGCAATTTGATTGCAAACGTTTCATCACCAATCGTGTTGACATCACCAGTGCGTCATTGGGGAGCGTAGTAGTCCTTAGCGGTGGGTAAGTGGTTGCGCTAACTAACTAATCACCGTTCACCACTAATCCACCGCTACGGACCACTGCGCTCCCCAATAACGCACTGATGATGTCACCTCGACTGATGCTGAAATGTTTGCAATGAAATTGCCCAGCTCAGCGAACAAGCCGACGACACTTTCATTGGGTGTGACAAACCAACCTATCCCACCAGGTGATCAGTCCCATTTATAATAAGTTTTGAGAAATCACTGTTCCACTAGACAACCAGCAAAATTGTTCTGCAATTCTATTTGTGTGTATTTCGTTTGTCCATCTAAATTCCAGACTGTTAAGCGTATAATGCTGCTAGGGTTAACCATATTTCCTCAGACATAGCTGAACGATGACTAGCATTAGCATAGAATGTGTCTAGAATGTGCCTAGACTGTATCTCCTTGGTGAAGTAGGCCACTAGGTGCTTCTGCATGCACTGTCGGACTAAACTACTTAGCTGTACTTTAATTGGCACTTATGGGCAATATGATGGCTTTCCAGCTATCCCTCCTGTTTAGTTCGCTGTCTTCGGGCTTACAGCGGGTACAAGGCACTCGGATGGACGCATAGTTGACTCAGCACTACTCACTACGGGTGGGTGTTCACCGGCTTAGTTCGAAGTGTCAGGCCAATGCAGAAACGAATGTCAGTTCTTGCGGGTTCGGATATCAGGCATAGGTTGCACTTGTTGCTGAATGAAACACGGCAATGAAAATCCTATTGTTTTAGCTCACTCCCTTTGTTAGCTACACCATGCTGTGCATTCATCAACACTTATCAGCAAGTCTGATTGGAATCCAATGCGACAGGACCTGAACTACAGCCTTTTGAAGCCGCCTATGATATGTGGTGAACTACCCATGTCTTACAACAGCTTAGAATGGTATTTCGCTTTGTTCACTCTTACTCACATGATTTCTAAGCCATAGATATGCCACCGGAAGTGGTTGTCACCAGTGTGTGCAGGATGGAACGAAATTGTGGCAACAATTGACCAAAACTATTGATGCGATTTTGTGAACTACCGACTGCTGTTGTTTCTTGGCTCTGCAACAAGTGTGAGAAATAATTCGCCTGTCAATCCTGGGATTTCTGCCTTAACCTGTCCTTTCTGTGCGTCTCATAAGGATTTCCTCATTAGTTTTGGATATGGTCAGTGAAAAATCAATGTCCATCGGTGGAAATGGTAGAGGAATGTGAAGTATGAGCTTGATAGCGTCAAACCAAATGTTGAGCAATCCGACGAGCCATGGGATGACACCAGTGTATGAACAGCAGTGTGTCAGTGGCATATGAATGCGAAGCCCAGAGAATAACAAACCGTTCCGATAGAGGTTTTACTCACGTTCACTTGTCACCCAAATGGCATGCTGTCATTGGTTAAGGCCAGGCTGATAAGGCATACCCCGTATAAATTGCGCGTGAACACTCCAGACGGATATTCGATGTGAATAAAAACACCGGGTTGTGTGATTGGTGTCTCAAACGATGCACGAGGAGGAAAACCTTGCTCTTGTCATCGACAATGGTTCGGGGATGTGCAAAGCCGGTTTCGCTGGAGATGATGCACCGCGAGCCGTGTATCCATCAGTCATCGGGCGACCAAAACTCCCCGGGGTGATGGTCGGAATGGGACAAAAGGACGTGTACATTGGCGATGAAGCCGAATCCAAACGAGGTATTCTTACACTTCACTATCCTGTCGAAAACGGCATTGTGAATAACTGGGATGATATGGAAAGATTGTGGCACCACACCTTTTACAACGAACTTCGCGTTGCGCCAGAAGAACACCCTGTACTACTGACAGAACCTCCTCTCAATCCGAAGAGCAATAGAGAGAAGATGGCACAAATCTTGTTTGAAAGTTTCAGTTCACCTGCAATGTATGTGGGAATTCAGGCTGTGCTTTCACTTTATGCGTCAGGAAGGACAACAGGTGTGGTAATGGATTCAGGGGATGGTGTTACTCACATAGTCCCCGTTTACGAAGGCTATGCGTTGAGCCATGCAATCTGCCGGCTGGATTTGGCCGGGCGTGAACTCACAGACTACATGGTGAAATTACTTAGGGAACGTGGGTATGCCTTCATCACTTCTGCAGAACGTGAGGTTGTACGGGATATCAAAGAACAACTGTGCTATGTTGCATTGGACTTCGAATCCGAAATGCTAGATGCTCCAAATTTGCCACATTTGGAGCAGACTTACGGACTACCTGACGGACAAGTGATTACTCTTGGAAATGGAAGGTTTCGTTGTCCAGAAGTGCTGTTCCAGCCGTCCATAATTGGCCGAGAAACGCCTGGTATACACGAAACTCTATTTATATCCGTCATGAAAAGTGAACTGGATCTCCGTCGGGATCTTTTCGCAAATATTGTGCTGTCCGGCGGCTCAACACTTTTTTCGGGAATGGAAGACCGTTTAAAAAAGGAAATCAGCGCTCTGACTCCACCGACCGTCAAAGTGAAATTTGTTTGTCCTCCGGAACGTAAGTATACTGTTTGGGTTGGAGGTTCAATTTTGGTCTCTTTGTCATCTTTTCAAACCCTGTGGATTACGAAGGAAGAGTATGAAGAACACGGACCCTCGATTGTACATCGAAAATGTTTCTAGTCCATCACTTATATGTCCATAAAAATTATTGTACAAATGTCACTAGCGGTGATAACTTGCAACCACTGCCTAGGTATCGGATGACTCGTTATTTGCACATGTTCGTCCTGAGGAGAGAACCTACCTAATATCTGTTCAAAGTAGAAAAATCTTGAATATCAACCCACAGGATTTTTTATCACGACAAATCCTCTCCTGCTCATTTTTATATTCACCTTAGGTAACAACTCACTGGGAATGGTGTTGTAATCGTGTGCATAAATTAGGTCGGATTGTGTAAACTGATGTCTAAGGGTGTGAGATGGAAACGACCCGGTGCCCAACCAATTGGTAACTCCAGGTTGAAAGACAGATGCGTCTCAAACACAATTTCATTCGGTCTGACAAACCCACCTATCCCACCAGGTGATCATTCCCATCTATAGTAAGTTTTTAGAAACCCCTATTCCACTAGATAACCAATAAAATAGTACCACGATTTCAGCTGAGCGATTCAGTGATTAATGAGAAGCCTAAAACAGGACAAAATGAAAATGAGAAATATAATCCACAAATTATCTACCCTATGTGGCCATTTTGGATGTATTCCAACACGCCCGGCTATGTTGGTAATCCGTCTGGTTGTGTACACAAAAACCAATTTGCTCATTTCTCTCGGCCCAGGAGGTTTGATATTCTCACGAGAGTCTAGCCCTTGGTATAACACCTGATGGCTAATTTATTCGTCCTTTTCGAATCGAGATGATCCCATATGGCCCTAAAAGACCAGTCTTTTCAAAAATATATACTGATGCCGTGGAATCAGTAGGATGTCGTGGACGTGATCGACTGGAAAAGTAGCAATATGTTTCCACCGAATACATACCCTGCTGGGTGTTTTTATCTGGACCCAAAAATCAACTTCACTGCCTCCTTGGATCTACTCACACAACGCTGTCATTGAAGAACATAGTTGAAAAACATCACCCAACCTTAGCTTCTCCCAAGTTTGCTTCAGTCAACTTCACTACATGTAGCCAAGAGAATAGTTGGTAAACTGGCATGAATTACCACGTAGTAGTTCTTTGAACAGCGTCAATAGCAACACCTCAGAAGCCATTTCCAAGAAAACTAGTGTCTATAATCAGTCAACCAAATAACCAGAGGTAGTAAAATCTGCGATGACACTGCTGCCTTGCTAAGGTGCAACCAATAAGTTTACTTAATAGTACTTGAAGACTTGAAGTTAAAAAGAAAAGATTGGGTACCTGATGCTGACCCATCGCAAGCTTCCCGAGGTGCCTGAAATTCTAAATGCTCAATCGGACAGGGTGGACAGTCCGCCACTGACACCGCTCGGCCACCGTTTCCTGCAGTGTCTTAGCCAAGCGCAAGGGTGGTCGCCGGAGCCCCTTCCTTGAAGGCGGACCCTACCAATAACACCTTGACTTTTCGAAACCTCTTTTCATCCTTCTATTAAGTCACATGTTGCCCACCTCGCGGCTTACGCCACTCTGAAGATGCACGGTAGACGATGACTTGGCATGCGGCCAAGCAACTGCAGCTGATGTTTTTTGCTACCGTTTTTCCGCCGTACAATCCAATACCCGTTTTCTAATTACCTCGTAACGAATTCATTTACGCTATCTGGTACCAGCGACACTTCTCGGACATCGATTAGAAAAGCTTAAAGATGCCTCAGGTCATCTGGTGACATCACATGACGGATAAAGTGATATGACAGTATTTTTAGTTGTCAGGTTGATTGTTATACGCGGACTGAGACAATGTCAGGGCGCCCACACCTAAGCAAAATGACTACTCGAACCCTCGACAAACGCCACTGCCTCAAAATACTGACCACAAGGCAGTCAGTGAAAGCCGACACACTAACAATAGAGTAGTATAAAATTTTTATGGAAAAAATCGCCACACATGTTCCAATCCACTACTTGGTGGACTAGAATATTGACCACCCAGGTGTGAGTAACTCTGCAAGTGCCAGAGTGAAACCCCCAGTATAGCTGAGTTGGTCACATCGGTACACAAACCGTCACACCGTCCAGTCTTCAGCGGCGCACTCCTAAGGGTAGAATGTGTCTATGGTACTGAGGACGACGGTTGTGGTGGTGATCTCCTTGGCGCTCACTGTCGTCATCTTCGCGTTGTCAACCGTGCTGTTCTCGCTGGTGGTGGTGGCCGTCGTCGTCACTGTCACGTTCGTGGTCGTGATGGTGGCAGTAGTGATAATTCCAATACTATTAATAATGATAGTATCAATAAGAATGGTGGTGCTTGTGATCATTATGCTAGCTGTGGTGCCTTCTACGAGGAACGTTAACAAGGCGAACTAACCAATCGTAACAGAACTGTCACCGCAAGGTCAGATTTTACGAATTAGAAGGTGATGTGTATCTATAGACGTAATACACTTCGACAGCTCACGACCGGTTTCACCCTTCTTGAGGCTCATCGGGTAGGCGCAGTCCCCGAGTTTCCGTCAATCTTATGTTCTACTTGGAAACGAGTTGCATGAAGTTAGCGAAATGCACTCATTTGCAAACAAATTTGGTTTTGCGAGAGACTCACCTGGAACCCAGCTGAATCTATCGTTTATGATGGAGTCTACATGCATTCTAGGGCCCACCCAATGCATCAACAAAATATCTCAGATTCCGATCTGACGCTTCATTATCTGCAGTGCAGTTGTGCTCTGACAAATTAGTAATAAAATCTCAGTGTTGGCTTTCAGCCATCTTCGGTGAAGGCAAGAGAATAAGTCCTAAATAAATGTTTTTATGTTATAGTCTAGCGCAGGTAGACATTAGTCCAACGCAGTGATCGGATATTTTTCTAATCAGCTTGATAAAGCAAGGTTCACTAATGAATTAAATCATTTAAATGTGAAGTGAACATGTGACTGAAGAATTATCTTGCCCGAAAAACACCATATGAACCAATACGGTATAACCATCTTAATTTGACTGATAAGTTTTCCACTCTTGGCTTCAATACCACCGTATGAGCGGAGAACATCTCAGAGGACAAGATATACAGATGGATTTGACGACAACAGTTTTTCTGTCATCGTTTTTTCTCGCTCGGTGATGCACATAGCTCCCAAATGGCTCAGGTCCCAAAGGACTGAGACAGGCGACCAACGGTTTCCCTTTTTGTGGAAAACAATCTATAACTCATACGAGTGATCGAGGAACAAAACGGTGAAGCGCTGAAGCATGTTGAGTAATATTGCTTCCAAACTCACAATACGATGATCACTGCCTCGGGCACATCCACAAACATATCCACCATAGTATAAGTTAGGACAACTCCGTTTGGAAGCCTTCACTTCATATTGAATTGCGTAAAATAAAACATTTGTTGGAAACCTGAAATTGACCGTATTTGACTGTAACGTAAATAAAGCCTTTTTCAATAAAACGAACGGTCACAGGTATTGGTTACTGAGTAGTACACCGAAGGGACTCCGTGCCACGGTATACGTGTTTCCATCTGTGTTTAAGAGGGAAGGAAGCCAAGAAAAAGTCAATAAATGAGACCACGTTACGTCGCTTCATTTATTGAAAGATGAGTGGCGCTAGGCCCAGTCTAAGTGAAGGCTAATCACACCGCTAATCAGCCAATCAGTCACTGACGAGAAGGTTGCGGATTCGAAACTCTTTGACTTTCTTGAGATTCGCACAACTGATAGTTCCCAGTAAGTGTGAAATAGCTATACACTGTCTCTCGGATTTCCATCACAAACAGAACGAAATCTCAATTAAACATTAGTGATTCCCAAGCTAACACAGAAGTATTTGTACTACTTACTAGGTAGCCGATAGGCTTGTGTACGCCCATTCGTACCCAGTAGCCATATTTCGATACGTTGTAATACACTACTTATCAATAAAACAAACTTTGTGAAAGTCATTTCGCTATAGCTGTAAAGTAAACACTGCCATACAATAGATTTTGGGTTGCCAATTTGTGAACTGAAAATTACCCACTTGCGTGTTGTGTACAGGATCAACGTTAAATTGTCGATGAAAGTGTAATGAAAGTTCCTTGGAAAGAGGGACGCTAATATATATAAATATATATCACATTTCTTGTAACCCTGATGATGATTCGATGGAAGCTTACCATCGGTTTCATCCTCTCTTGGGATCATCGGCTAAGCTTGGTCCACCACCAACCTTGCTTGCCTCGACAGATACACTCATTTGCAAATCAATTTGATTTTCACGGAAGACTCAACTGAATCTCGCGCTTATGATGTTCTTCAACTGATGATTCCAAGGAAGGGCGAAACCGGCCGTCGGCTGTCAAAGAGTTTTCATCAACCTTCTGGGTAGTTTGTTTTATGAAAACCTTACTTGTTTCCTGAAGAGCAACATACAGCAGATATTCTTGTGAGATTCAAGTTCACAGAGTCTTCATTTTCATCCAAGTCATCAGTTTCCGAATGAAACCTACTTTACTGATTAATTAATCGAAATAGCAGTCAATCAGTCACATAGACGTGAAAATCTGATTAGCTTTCATAGGTAGAAGATCGTTTTCTACATTTAAAATGCCATAAAAAAGAAAATGTAATTTGTACAGAAAACTCGTTGACAAATTGGCGGAATATAGGTAACTCGGGTACGTGGCCTGATTGTTGGTTTGTTCGCCGAGCTTGGCAGTTGGACTGCAAACGTTTCATCAACCATCGGGGTAATATCGTCAGTGCAGGGTTGATTTGGTGAATTCCTCTTCTTCTACTGCTTATATATACGTGTAGAAACTATATAAGCACAACCAGAAGAGGGGGTATTCACCCAATCAACCCCGCTTTAAAATGTCTGTGTGCTGCTAGGAGATACGAGACCACCTGGAGGTCTTTCATTCTGT